TGCTCAGGCATGAAAATATGCCGCTCAAACACTATACTTTTCCGCTCACACGGAAAAAAAATTAGAGGGAACATTGGTGAGGACTACCTATAGCCGTAAATGTGAGGTTCTCAGGCGAATTCCTCCAATATCTCTACACGGGATCTGGCATTCTCACCCAAAGTTTTCTTAGAGGAAGGGGCAGACTAATCTGAAAGACTAATCTAAGGTCTGAAAAAGTGCTGACCCTGCCTTGTGTTGACCTGTTTTTCCTCTAATCAGGTATACCTTCACTGGAATTTATACTTTTGAATGTCTGATCAAGATTCTGGCAAGAGGGTTCTGCTTGAATGAATTCACCTTCCTCCGGGACCCATGGAACTGGCTGGATTTCAGCGTCATCGTGATGGCGTAAGTGTCACCCTTCTCCTCTGAACAATCTATAATTAAGGAGTGGGTCTCCTTAGTTTTTTCCCCAAGAGTTGGCAGTATTTATTTATTTATTGTTTGTTTGTTCCATGGCTCTTCCTTATTCTTCCAGTCCAGATACTAGTACCTGAGCAGCTTATATTCCCTTCCTATCCTGTTTCCCTGAAAATAACACCTCCCTGGATAACAAGCCCAATCGGGCTTTTGAGTGTATGCGCTAAAAATAAGCCCTCCCTGAAAATAAGCCCTCCTTGAAAATATTGCAACACAGCAACAGCCATGAGATGATCACGCTCGCCGCCTCCTGCACCTAACAAATAATAAGACCTCCCTGAAAATAAGGCCAAGCGCTTATTTCAGGGGGGGGTCAAAAGAAAATAAGACCCTGTCTTATTTTTGGGGAAACACAGTACGTTATAAAGATGGTAGAATAAAACAGAGAAAAAAAAATACAAAACAAAGTAATGATGACCTTGGTACTCAACAACTTTGAATACCAATTTGGTACTCCACGCATTTTGACATGAACATTTTGTCCCAGTATTCATTGTTTGTTTGGTACTCAATGCACAAGCTAAAACTTCTCAGTGGTGGTTGCTTTCTGACTCTTTACATTTTTCCTTGTGGGAAAAATTCATTTGGTACTCACTGTTTTTTGGTACCCATTACACCTCCCAGAACCAATTAATGATGGGTAATGAGGTACCATTATCAGTATAATAACAGCGCTACTGAAAAAAAATATTATAACCACAAAATTAACAATTTGGTTGGTCAAACAATTAGCCAGGAAAATTCTTAATGCTGCATGATTGTAATTCCGTGTAAAAAAGTATTGAGTTAAATCTATCCATTTGTCCCCAATCAGAGGAGCTATTGCTCGGTGCAGTTATAATAACATAGTGCCATTAAATGCTTTGCATGAAGGCTAGTATGGGAAGATGGGGCTTGTAGTCCTAGCATGGTTGTCGAAAAGCAGATTCCAAGAGACTGACTTGAAAAATTAATGGGTTTTTGTGTTCTGAACCTTCGTCAAACATATACATCTTCTTGGCTGAAAAACAAAAAAACAAAGATGAATGACTTGTAGTATAAATATTTCTACTGCTATTAGAAAAATATTGTAATTGAAGTTAATAGATAAATAGGTAAATAAATGTTTGTATGTATGTATGTATCTATGTATGTATGTATGTATGTATGTGTCTGTGTGTATATGTGAATACACACACACACACACACACACACACACACACACACGTTTTGCGGAATTAGGTGGAAGTTTTCATAATGCATGAGTGGGTTTATCCATTAGGAGGCCATTCTTGATTTATGACCACAGTTGCCACTATAATTTCAATCGCTAAGCAACACAATTGTTAAGTGAATTGCCCCCAAGTTTATGGTCTTTTCTTCCCATAGTTATTAAGCAAATCGCTGCAATAGGTAAGTGAATCAATTTAGTGCTGTTGTAACTTCAAAGAGTCACTAAACCAATAGTTGTGAGGACTGTCTCTAGCAGTGTTAGTGTTGAGGGCCAAAACAGGAGCGCATGCGCGGGGGAATACCAGAAACCGGAAGAGCAGCTCCAGAGTGCACATGCATGAGAGCGCTGGAAACCGGAAGAACAGTTTCCCAGCGCACATGGGCATGCCGGGAAGCTGAGCTTCCAGTTTACGGTATGCATATACATACTGGTCACTTGGTCTTAATGGTTTCTGGCATGCATGCATCCATGAGGACCAGCTGGCCAGCATGCATGCGCATGCTGTAAACCGGAAGCTCAGCTTCCTGGTGCATGCATGCACACCAGGGGACTGGTGCTCCCACAAGCACGACGACCAGCTGGCTGGCATGCATGTATGCACCAGAAACTGGAAGCTCAGCTTCCCAATGCACACATACGCACCAGGAGGTGGCTTTTCCGCTCTCATGCATGTGAAGACCAGTTGGTTGGCAGACATGAACCCAGAAGAACAACGGGCGATGGCTGGCGTGCCAGAGAGATGGCTCTGCATGCCACTTCTGGCACATGTGCCATAGGATTTATCGTGTCCTCGTAATCCAAGATGACCAAACTGTAAATATGGTTCCATTTATTCTCTACTTCTGGCTGGGAAATTCTGGGGGTTGAAGTCCACTCATCTTTAAGGGGCCAAGATCTACAAACCACTAAAATATGGCAATGAAATTGTCATCCATTCGGTTCCACCACAAATGCGCGAACGCCAAAAGCGCGCCTGACTAAACCACGGTGACAAAACCACGCCGACGAATGAGCGCTGAAGCGCGCCGACAACAGCGCGCCGACAGAAGCGCGCTGTAACCCTAACCCTAACCCTAACCCTAAACCTAAACCTAAACCTAAACCTAAACCTAAACCTAACCCTAAACCGTACCTTAACTTAAATCGCGCTTCTGTCGGCGCGCTTTTGTCGGCGCGCTCTTGGCGGCGCGCTTTTGACATCGCGGTTTTAGCATCGCGGTTTTGTCAGCACGCTTTTGTCATTCGCGCATTTGTCGGGTCACGATCCATTCTGGCAACTTTCCAAGTTTTCAAGAGCCAGGCAGCCTGGCTACTAAGATACCCCACCATCACCACCACCCACACACTATGGAAATGTTCCCAACATTTGAATTTTTATGTCAAGGGAGAAAAAAGGATCAATATTTTGAATTCTCTGACAAGAAGCGTCACATTTTAAGCCCATAAACCCTCCTGAAAGGAAACCAAAGAGGCAATTACAGGCCTCATGAGGCCGTTCCTATGTCTTGTTGTACAGAGAATAATCCTGTTTGAAAGACGGGGAGGAACTCTGCCAAGATTCAGAACAGTGGTGGGATTCAATTTTTTTTACTAATGGTTCTGTGGGTGTGGCTTGGTGGGCGTGGCTTGGTGGTCATGGCAGGGGAAGGCTACTGTAAAATCCCCATTTCCTCCCAATCAGCTGGGACTAGGGGACAGAAAATAAATAGGGGCTGGTTAGTGACGAGAAGGACGAACTGCCTTCTGCACCTGGCCTGAGAACACACAGCACAAGCAGTTAACACTTAGACTTATATACCACTTCATGAGTGCCTTTACATGCCTCTCTAAGTGGTTTAAAGAGTCAGCCTATTGCCCCCAACAATCTAGATCCTCATTTTGCTGACCTCAGAAGGATGGAAGACTGAGTCAACTTGAGCCAGTCAGGATCGAGCTGCTAGCAATTGGCAGAATTAGCCAGCAATACTGCTTTTTTAACCACTGCACCACCAAGTAGGGCAGAGAAAAGGCAGGAGCAGCGAAGGTCATCCCGATCACTCGCGAGGAGGCAGCCTCTTTAATAGGCTGCACCAGAAATTGGCTGTTTAGCACAGCAGTCAGATGGAGACAATGCGTTGATTTCCTAGCTACATTTTTCTTGTTTGTTGGGATCCCTGCCTTATGGTTTTATGGTTTTATTAACACTTATAGGCCGCCCTTTTCCCTGAGGGGACTCAGGGCGGCTTACATAAAATGAGGGAAGGGATATACAAACAATAACACATANAGACATCTATTGCAATGGGCTTTTAGAGAGAATGAGATTAGTTTTTTCAAATGCTTGCTTGAAATCGTATCGAGGCAGCATCTATCCAAACTTTATTGGCCTCAAAAAGTTAACCAGGGTCAATTCTCAAGAGGTTTTGGATGGGAGACCACTAGGAAGGCTCAGATTGGACTAGGACATCAGGAACATTGCTACACTATGAAGTAGGAAACCATTTCTATGAGGAGTTCTTGGTGCTCTCTGAGCTTGGTTGTTTTCTTGCAGACGTTCCGTTCAGGCATGAAATGCTCTAATCTTTGCTACTGGTTCATGTGGTCGTAAGTCGAGGACTGCCTGTTCTTGGGGAGCAATTGGGTTTTATGAGAATCTTTCCAGTTAATATCTTTTTTTTTCCTTCTGCAGACATTTATGGTCTTGAACAAAGGAAAAACAATCTTTCGATTTACTGCCACAAATGCTTTGTACATCTTCAGTCCTTTCCACCGAATCAGGCGGATGACAATTAAAGTTTTAGTTCATTCATATCCTTTACATAATTGCTTCCTCTCCACTCACCCTTCTGTTTTCACTCTGGCTTTTTATTTTATTTCACGAGAAAGTGCCTATGTTCTCCAGGAGAAATGCAAGGAAATGCTTGGTGTTTAGAGATTAAATAATTTCTCCCCGAGCTAGTTCGGTGTTATTAATTTTTATCTCTTTTAAATAAATTGGGAATCGGAAGCAACAATTTAATGTGGACAGTATTTGTGAGCTAATGGACAGGGAGGACGTCATGTTCCTAAAACATCATTTTCCTGAACTCCTATAATTCACATTGTTTACTTGGTTTATCATGGTCACTATTTTAACGAATTGCGTTTTCATGGCTCTTTCGGATTCATCACAGACAAACAGCAAAGAGAACTCTTCAAGCAAATACGTTGAGTAAGTAGTTTTATCAATATTGTTCCATTTTCATTGCAATGCATTATTGCATTAAAAAAGGGTGAAAAAAGTAAAGTCTCTGCAGATTTTACCCTGCTAGTTGTTGCAGACACTAGGGGGCGCTGCTCATCACTGTGTCAAGGCAATTGAACCAGTGCTGTCTGAATACATTTCCATGATCATGTGGTCAGCATGACGTCATTAAGGGCGGTGCTCATCTCCATTTCAAAGCCAAAGAGCCAGCGCTGTCCGAAGACATCTCTGTGGTCATGTGGCTGGTATGACTAAATGCTGAAGGTGCACGGAACGCTTTTTCCTTCCCACCAAAGGTGGTTCCTATTTTTCTACTTGCATTTTTACATGCTTTTGAACTGCTAGATTGGTAGGAGCTGGGACAAATAACGGGAACTCACTCTGTTATGCGGCACTAGGGATTTGAACCGCCAAACTGCCGACCTTTCTGATCGACAAGCTCTGTGTCTTAGTTGCTGAGCCACCAGGTCCCTCTTTAAAAAAATATAAAAATATATATCCACCTCCAAATGTTCTGTAAACTTTAAGAATGATTATAGAGTAACAACAGACAGAGAGACCCCTTGTCTTAGTTTGTTTTAAATTAGTGTGTCTTTATATAGAAATTGTGTATGTGTATATGTGTGTGTGAGAGAGGACTATCACTCAATATTTTGAATTCATTTTTCCTATATATTTATTTGCCTATAGTAAAAGCACAACTTTCAACTCTTTGGGCACAGCAAACAATATTTGCAGACCAACACCTGCATTTTTCAAAAGTTGTGTGGTGATTTCAAAATAATGAACTCAACACATTACAGATAGTCCTTGATTTACGACCAATTATCACTTAGCAATCATTCAAAGTTATGACTGACCCCCCTGCAAAGGTACTTATGACCTAGTTTCACTCCCCCACAGCCAGGTGACTTTTGGGCACTTGGCAACCAGCCTACATTTGTTTGAAGTGCCCTGTCATGTGACTACGGCTACAAGGAACCATGTTGATGCAGTGGTTAGAACGTAGTATTGCAGGCTAATTCTGCTGACTGTCAGAAGTTCAATCCTGACCAGCTCAATGTTGGCTCAGCCTTCCATCCTTCCGAGGTGGGTAAAATGAGAACCCAGATTGTTGAGGGCAAATAGGCTGACTCTGTAAACCGCTTAGAGAGGGCTGTAAAGCACTGTGAAGCAGTATAAAAATCTAACTGCTATTGCTATTATGCTTTTTTTTCTGAAAACCAGTATTTACCAGTAGTTTCTGGCAATGCTCACCCCAGAATGAGCAATGGCTTTGCTTAACGACTGCCACAAATAAAGACCACACAATCAGGTCAGTCAAGTGATGTTGGTTCCACCACAAAACCGCAGTCGACTAAAGCGCACTCGACGAAACCGCTTACCTGACGTCATCACAGCGCGACGAAAAAAGCAC